GGGGGGGGGGGGGAAGGGGGTTCCACAAATTTCACACATTTCACACCTCCCATTATATTCTTCAACAATCAGCATCTGCCTTGACACATTGCATGGTGATTGGATGAAGGGGTCCGACTGAATATGAGAAACTACTACTACCTATAACATGGCCTGGATAGGTGGGTATGTTTGAGGTGCTTACCTTGCACGATTTTTTAGGTTTTGACTGCTGCATAAGCTTATAGTCCTCATCGTCCTCCCAGGTAGAGTCGTATTCTGAGTCCCAGACCAGATCATCAGAACGATAGTAACCATAGCTAGACATGCTGCCAATGTCCCAGGAGAAGCAGAGATTACAAGAGACAAAAAGAGAAGTTGTAAATCAAGAACCTCTCCTCCTCCTCAACACTCCGTAGCTGTCAATGGTTGGGGTAGGAATAGACAAAGCATGGCTCCTATTGCCTGCAAGTGCTGGTATGTGCAGTGCACATACATACAGGTAGATTAAATGTCTGTAAAGGACAGGATTCCAAAGAAAAACAGGGGGATACACGTGATATGTGAATACTCAACACATAAAAAAAAGCAATGCAAAGTTTTAGGGGGTTATTCACAAAGCTGCCGAGGGCAATCGTGTGATCAACCGACCCGAAGTGAAGTGAGCCGAACGCTGTTCGGCTATTCACTTCAGGCTTGTACGGCTGGGTAGCCGTATACCGACTGAAATCAGCCATACATCGGCTTGCTGCAGCTGGGTTCGGGTCGGCCGAACATGCTCAGCATGCTCGGCCGACCCGAAGTGCAGAAGGAGTTCGACTCAGTTGATCCAACATCTGGATCAGCTGAGCCGAACCTCCGGCAGGCTACTCGCTGCTGTTCGGCCTATTCTCATAGAGGCCAAACAGCAGTGAGTGAATAGCCGAATGCCGTCGAGCGGCATTCGGCCTCGGCTATTCTGCTCGGTACCTCTGTGGTCCCGATATAATAGAAAAATTGTAAAAAAAAAGTAGAAAAAAAAAAGTAGACTAGTATCCAGCAAAGAATACCCATTATATATGACTAGTATCCAGCAAAGTAAGAAAAAAAGGTAAAAAACAGACATTTCTAAGGCCTCATTCATACGGCCATGCACAGCTCTACACCGTGCAGTAACCTGAGCCTGGGAGTGACAGCTGGTGCAGCCACCTGTACAACTCGATGACAGCCACCGGTACAACTTAATGACAGTCACCTGTACAACTCAGTGACAGGACGCAGCTTCAAGCCAACCTGGACTTGCACATCCATGCAGGTGTGGATACATGCCCATGGATGCTCATGATATACTTGATGATATATATCTACTTAGCATAAAATCCATAATGTATATGCCTTCTGCTCCTGCCAATGGGATACTTTGTAACTGCAGTAGATACAAAGGCGGCTGAGCTACACTTCACATATGACTGTCTCTGATCTCAGAAACAAAAGCAACACAGAGCGCCTCCATAGTGTAAAACTTTTATTTGATGAGTACAACACGCAAGTGAAAATGTTCTTACACGAAAGCCAATGATCATAAGCGTAAAAGGAAACGATAAAATATAAAATCTCCAGCAGGGGAAGTCAGAGGGGATCTCCAAATCAGCGTCCTCTGCTCCCGTATGTTTTAAAAAGGTCTACGCGTTTCAGGGGCACGCCCCCTTCATCAGAACCTGCTGGAGATTTTATATTTTATCGTTTCCTTTTACGCTTATGATCATTGGCTTTCGTGTAAGTACATTTTCACTTGCGTGTTGTACTCATCAAATAAAAGTTTTACACTATGGAGGCGCTCTGTGTTGCTTTTGTTTCCCAGATCGATGGTCGTTGTTGACCGGTGGGAGCTGCCTCTATGGTGTACCAATGAACTTTACAGCCGGATTTCTCTGCAAACCGGGGGGCGCCGGTATTGCTTTTTTCAGTGTCTCTGATCTCAGTTTCTAGAAAACACTTCCTGTAGTCAGACCTCAGGAAGCCTCTCATACCTGGACTCTGAACATTCTCTTCTTATACTCACCCACTGTTTTCGGAAACTCAGAAGTGAAGATCTCCGGCCATGTAAAGTTTTCCCTGTGAATGTTGGGGATAAGAGGAGAGCAGCTTCCACTCCCAAACCAGTTTCTCCACAATTCAACTCTCTTCACGTTTCACTTTCTGTTCCTATTTTTGTAACTCGACCGACACGCCCATTAAAGCAGCAGCTAGAGGATTATATACCAGGGTCATACTTCTCAGTCCTTTAAATGCTTATAGCTGGGGGTATAAAGGGTACATCTGGGATTTTGAAGTATATTAAGTGTAGGAGGGCACTAAGGCTGCATTGTGCCAATGTGAGCAAAGACACAGCTCGCCATAACGCTTGTTACTTTGCAATACGTGCCTCAGGGTCATTTATTGTTAAAGGCACCCCAACTCACCTTGCTGCACCATGAGCTTTTCCACCTGTGTAAAATCTCACCAAAATGCATGGTAACAAGGTGTCTTGGGAAATGTAGTTCTGGAGACATCTACAAGAACTAACCTCCCAGCAGAAATAAATGCTGGTACATGCTCTGGAGGGGGAAGAGGGAGGTTTATGGGTATTTGGGTCATGTCTGGAGATCACCTTTTAAGCGGACCTTTACCACCTTTTGAAAAAAAAAAATGTGCAGGGATATCTTTGGTTCGGTTGTCATATATAGGGCAGCCCATTGAGATGAAACACTCCTGGCTACCAGTAGAAATGATCCGATTGCTTCCTATGGGCAACGCGAGAACTCTTTTCTTTCCTTGTATTTGGTACAGAAGGTCCAGGATTATATTTACCCCATTGGTCCTGATTTCATCTGAGAGGTGAGAGGAAGTTTTCATATACACACAGAGCAAGTCAGTAAGCGTTAGCAGTCACAGATTGCACAGATTGTATCCCCCGCGTCCAGTAAAGTGCAGCCAGCACAGGTTCCTACTGCCATTAATTGCCATCCCTCCACCCATGGATGAGGATGTACTGTACTGCTATCAGCAATCAAAATAGGACAAGGTTGCTAACTGCATGTTAAAAGCTAGACCCCAGGCAGAAATAAAAGACACAAATAAATGCAGCTCTGTATTCATCAATACATCACTAAACTGGAGTGTGAGAAGCAGTACATGGAGGCAATCAGTGTGACAAGAAGCATGCCGATAGCCGGAGGGAGCAGAGTGACTGAGATGAGCTCATCATGAGCTGAATGATGCTGGATCAGACTGAGGACATTAGTGGCAGAAAAAAAAAAAAGGTACTACATGGACATCTAGGGATTGAATGGGAATCAGTAAAGGAAGTGAAACTTCTCTCTGGTGTCACAGGCAGGAAATGGAAATGATCTCACTACCTTTTTTTTAATCCCACTCTGCTATGAAGTTGTTTATTGTCGTTGGTTGTGTTCCTTTCCCCTCACTGCCTATTTGAAGAATATTACAATTGGAAGTGAGGAGAAACGAGAGCAATAAAACCTGACGGAGGTGATAACCCTTACTCACACTATGTGGGGTTCTCCCCTAACAGGACATGTGCATTTAACATATTTTATGTATATCATTTCTCGTAAAAGCCTCCCTTGTGCACACATCTAAAAGCCCAGAGACTGCTGCTGGGGGACGCCATCTTGGAAGTGATGTCAGCAGCCCCAGCAGACTCAAGTGACACTATATTATTCCCTGCCACTCCTCTCCTGGCAGCTACCTAAAAGGTTATACAGGGAGGGGTGGAGGAGCTGGGCCAGCATAGAGAGTAACTAGATACTGCCAGAAGAGAAGAGGAGGCTATGACATGTAACGGAAGAATGTGATAGAGAATGGACTCTTCCTCCACCTTGTCCTTCCCAACTTAAAGCTGAACTCCAGAGAAAATGCACAGATGAAACTCATGCATGGGGTCTGTTTTACCCGTCAAAAGATTTGTATTTTTGTCCAGCCAGTCCTGAGATTTACACAGATCAACCACACAGCACAGAGCTTTCTGGCAGGATAGGAGATCTGAAGTTCAGTAACACTTACAGTCTCATCCCTCCACCACCCTGCAAATGGACAGTGACAAGAGAAGCAGCAGACTGATGATCTAATTTCTCTGTCACTTTGGTATCTCCTACTATCGGCATGTTCCTTGTTAGCACATGGACACTGTAGCACAAGTGGCTACCAGCACTTCTTCTATTTCCTGCTGTACAGGGATTGCAAGGGGCTGATACCAAGTACGTTTTCTGTACTTACACTTCTAAAAAGATACATTGAATCATTTCTTAATGAATACAGATCTGCATTCATATGTGTCTTTTATATCTGCCTGGAGCCCGGCTTTAGGTCTTCTCTAGTGAGGGTACATATGGACAACGAGGGACCATCCAAACTTCCAGCAAAGGAAACACATCTACAAATACCAAAACAACCTAGAAAGTCAAAAACTAATGCAATCTCAGAAAAAGTATTTTATTTTTTATTGAACAAGCGAGAGAAAACGCCACCACAGAAACATCCACCACATGTTATATTTTCTTCCCTGGACACAACTGTTTGATTACTAATAAGACAGTCAGTATCATTTATATTTGGGATCGCTAACTTCCCATGTTCCTTCATGTTGCCATCTCCATTGTCTGTTCTCTGGGATCTATTATTATCATCAGAGGTCTCTCCTTTCCCATCATTCTTGTTACCATCTCGAAAGTTTTTTTCCTTTGATTTTGTCTTGTCATCTTCCACATTCTCCCGGTCCTCTCCCTCGTCTTCCCTTTGGGGTTGGTTACTAGGCACTGTTTCTACCTTCACATGTTCCATCTCACCAACTTGACTGTTTTCTTCTTCCCCATCCCTCAACTCGTATACTTTTACAGCATCTTCATTGTTGTTGTTTTTGCGGTGTTCACTATTATACGATGTCTCTGCATTCCTTTGTTCCTTCATACCATCTTGACCATTTCTCTTTTTGGTTATGGTCTCGTCATCTTTCCTGTCTTCATCCTTGCATTCTTTCATGCCCTCTTCAGTGTATCTCTCGGGTTCATTATTAAACAATATCTCTGCATTCTCAAGTTCCTCCATACCATCTTGACCATTTATCTTCTTGGTTATTGTCTCGTCATCTTTCCTCTCTTTTTTCATGTTCTTTTCAGTGTTGTTTCTCTTGGGTTCATTATTATACGATGTCTCTGCATTCCTATGTTCCTTCATACCATCTGGACCAGTTCTCTTCTTGGTTATTGTCTGTTCATCCCTGTCTTCCTCTAGTCTACTCTCATTTGGTTTCCTGACACCTTCATTGGTTTCCCCTTTGTCTTCTTTATATTTTTGCTTCTCTGGTTCTTTCCCGATGGCGTCACACTCTCTCTCTTCTCTTTTGCGTTTCAACCCCCCTTGATTTCTTAGCAAGTCTACTGGTCCCCAGACAAACTCGTTCTGTGGTTTGTAGTTTTTCCAGGCAAGGCACACCAAATCTCGGCGTTCTTTCTTGTCCTTCACGGAGAACATGAAATAGTCTAATACGCTTGACTTTACTCTCTTTAATTGGTCTTGACACAGGGTTTCCTCCAAGAAAAAACGGACCAGAGGAGCTTGGTAGCGTTGAAACCCCAGTTCGCCCAAACACTTCAAGATTCGGGTGATCCTCAGGTTGTTATGAGTGTTTCTATTAAAAAAAACAGAAGAACAAAAGGTGGAATATATGTATATTAGACATGTAAGCTGTGGAAAAATTCAGTTCGGTTATTTCAGGATTCGGATCCGAAATTCAATTCGCTTTGGGTTTCGGATTTGGACGAAATCCGAATTTTCGCTAGTTTCGGATGAGTTTACGAATATTCATTGCGAATACCACAGAAAACAATATACAGATATTAATACTAAAACGGAAGCTCCTAGACCCGAATGGCATTTGAGAGTCCAAATTTCCAAATACCATTCGAGAGCTCCAGAAAGCAATACGGGTCTGGGAGCCATATTAAAGCTGAGGCTTCCAGACCCAAATGGCATTAAGGAGCTCTCGAATGCTATTCGGAAATTCGGACTCCATTTGGGTCATGGAGCATCAGTTTTCGTTTTAGGTATATATAAGTAGTACCGTATTTTGCGGTCCATAAGACGCACCGGACCATAGGACGCAGGGAGGTCCGGCGCGCCTTATGGAGCACTCGAGACTGTAGCTTCTGTCACAGCTTCTATGACAGAAGCTGTGACAGAAGCTGCAGTTAGTGACCGCTGAGACAGGTGGCGCTGTGATTACAGCGCCACGGTCTCAGTGATGACACAGAGCAGGCGAAGAACGTCTATTCTTCGTCTGCTCTATGGTTATCTCGATCGTCGCCGCTGCTCGGTTTTAATACGAGTGATCTCATTAGATCACTCGTATTAAACGAGCAGTGGCTCCTACTACTCGCCCGGCGCCCGAAACTGCATGTCTCGGGCGTCGGGATTTGCTCCATAAGACGCAGGCACTTTTCCCCCCTCCTTTTGGGGGGAAAAAAGTGCGTCTTATGGAGTGAAAAATACGGTATTCTATAATACGAATGAATATTCGTAGCGGCTACATTGTGACCCATATATACATAAAACCAGCCCCCCCGGGTCTCAGGAAGATGTCTCCTGCAGAGACCCCCACAGACCCTGCAGTCTCCCGGATCTCAGGGGGGCTGTGCAGGATCTGTTATGGGCTTTGCAGGCTGCAGAGCCCCCTACGGATCCTGCAAAGCCCCCCACGGATACTGCAGAGACCCCCTGAGATTCTGCAGTCTGCCGGATCTCAGGGGTGCTGTGCAGAATCTATGCTGAGCCCTGCCACGGGAAAACAAGCCTCCTCCACTGCCTTGGCGCCCAATCATCGTTGCTTCTGGAGCCTCCTCCATCTCCGCCCCACCTCTTCCGCTGCAGTCATCGGCCCTCCTGTCTCCTCCATCTTCACCCCGCCTCTTCCAGAACCAGGGTGTTACTCAGAGTGCAGGGGTGGGACGCAGAGAACCAGGGTGGGACGCAGAGTGCAGGGGTGGGACGCACAGTGCAGGGGTATGACGCACAGTACAGGGTTATGACGCACAGTACAGGGGTATGACGCACAGTACAGGGGTATGACGCACAGTACAGGGGTATGACGCACAGTACAGGGGTATGACGCACAGTACAGGGGTATGACGCACAGTACAGGGGTATGACGCACAGTACAGGGGTATGACGCACAGTACAGGGGTATGACGCACAGTACAGGGGTATGACGCACAGTACAGGGGTATGACGCACAGTACAGGGGTATGACGCACAGTACAGGGGTATGACGCACAGTTCACGGGGGGCGCACAGTTCACGGGGGGCGCACAGTTCACGGGGGGGCGCACAGTACACAGGGGGCGCACAGTACACGGGGACCCCCCGGTTGTTACGCCACTGCATAAAACTAAACCAGAGGCTCCCAGACCCGAATGGCATTCGAAAAATTCAGATTCAGATCCATTCGGGTTCCATTAAACCGAAAAACACATCTGATTGGCCAGAAAAGTCACATGACAGATTCAATTTAGTTTTTGCATTGGGATTCGGAAATTCAGATGTGTCCGAATCTCCAAATTTTGGAAAAATTTGTACGAATTTTGGTTCGAAACTAAACGAATTGCACGTGTCTAATGTAGGTCATGAAAAGCACACATCCTTGAACTCTGGATTTTGAATCTGGACCTCTTGTAGCCCATGTAACGCATGGCCTGTAACTGTAATCACTGACGATCACTTATGCAGTACAATAAAAAGCAAAAAAAAAAAACAGTGCCATTAGCAATGCAGAGAGAGCTGGATATTGTTGAAGACACAAATAAAAGCCCCTGTACGTAAGCAGGAAAATGCTGACATTACCATGACCATCACCATCAGCTCAGATGTGGGGAAATGGTTATATTAAATTTATTATATGATACCTTGACTTGATATCATGATCCTGCATTCTCCTGCACACTAAAATACAGGCTTATAGAGGGAACATGCTAGCAGGAATATCTAAAAAAACAAGTCAAGGCAACTGGACTTGCTGTATTTTTCTTGAAGACGTTTCACTGGTCATCCGACCAGCTTTCTCAATTCAGAATGGCAGATTATGTGGATTGGAGCAACATTCACCATATTTATTCCCAGATAATTTGTGTACAAGGCATTCTGAATTGAGAAAGCTGGTTGGATGTCCAATGAAACATCTTCAAGAAAAATACAGCGAGTCCAGTTGCCTTGACTTATTTTTTACAGATATACCATGACCTGGATGAATGAGAACCTTCACAGACATGCTAGCAGGAGGAGAGAAAAAAGACTGATAGAGTAGAGTAATGAGCTGATTGGTGTGCAGCTGTTCTTTCAATATCCAATTACAGGCTGGATTGAATAAATGATGGAGCGGTATTGCTGAACTTGTGCTTAAATGACAACTACTCACTTGTTTAAGTTCTCATATCTTTCGTTCCAGTTCTCCGCTCTGTGGACTTCTCCGGTCTCCTCACTTTTTAAATGCAGGCCGTAAAATCCTAACATGAGCTTATACGCCTCAAGGAGCCTCCTTCTGACTCTGCTGTCTTTCTTCATCATCTAGGAGACAGTCGTTTGTTACAATGAACAGTAAATGTAATGCTATAATAATCAGAAGCAAATCAAAGAGGAACTACACCAAACTTGGCTTTTCCCCTGCCAGGGTATGCAGGATTTCTTGAAGAATAAGTGCTCTTTCAAACAAAGTGCACTTCTCATTTGCGTGTCCCCACCCCTGGCCTAAATGTCCCCCCCCACCTGCAAACCATACTTACCAAGATCAAATGGGAACAGTTACTCTATTGATTGCAACCAGTGCGGCAATGCTCCCTCTGCTGGCCGCACCTGCACATTACATCCCCATAGACTTTTATAGGGTTGCCTCTCAGCCAGGTGACTGATGCGGCTAGGAGCGGGAAACTTGCAGTGCTGGATGTCAAGCGAACAGCAGTTGTTGGGTCTCAGTAAGTGTACAACTGTAGAGGGCAAGGGTGTGATCCTTTTGATCAAGGGAGGGGGCAAAAATAATAAGTGGACTTATTCTTTAGGTTCTATAAAACTGGGGGAGGGAAATGTACATAAGAAATAAATAGTAAAATTAAAGGATTTG